TGCTTATGCCTAATGTTTCTACTAACACAGTTGATTTGAAGAGAAATTCATTGCTTAAACTCCAAATTGAAAAGATTAAGCCTAAATCTTCTTCTTCACATCTTTTCTTTTCTCCTCTTCCTTCACTTTCTTCTTCTTCATCTTCAACTGTCTTAAAGACTTTTGCTCTTTTTAAGTCCAAGGCCAAAGCTCCTGTTAAGAAGGTAAGTTTATTTGTTAATTTATTTCATGATTATTATGTATTAGTGATGTTAATTGTTGTATTATTAATGTTATGTTAATTAGGTGGAGAAGCCAAAGCTTAAAGTTGAAGATGGTTTGTTTGGAACTTCTGGAGGAATTGGGTTTACCAAGGAAAATGAACTCTTTGTTGGTCGTGTTGCTATGATTGGATTTGCTGTAAGTTGATAAATCACTTAAAATCTTTAATTTACATTATATATTACATGATTTTACACAAATTTTAGTCATATACTCATATGTATGTATACATAATACTATTATGATATTTTGGGTACTTAGATCATGCAATGTTTCTTATCTTAACCACTTACAAGTGCAGATAAGATTTGAGTACATTCGGATTTAGTTGTCTCTTTACTAATTTACAGTATATTATAGTGTTAGTTTGATAATTGATAAATATTGTGCTTTCGATCATATATCAAATTGATGGAGGGTAAATTTTGGATTGATAAGAGAAATAAAGGGTGTCATATACGTGAAAATTATAGATAGTTGTTTGAGTGAAGGTCCTTAGATTTGTTTGGGGTCTAATATTATACTATTAGATTTTAATGAGCATAGCTTGTAAACTCTAGCAATGTTATTTAAGTAGCACTAGGTATGTACTAGTAAAAAATAGATTTGAAACCTTTTTTTTTTTTTTTTTTTTTTTTTTTTTTTGCAAATTAAGCAGCTTTTACCCCGTATAGGACTAATAATCTCAACTCAAGAAATTAACCCGAGCTTTAATATTTGCTAGATTAAAAAAATGTAATCAAGTTTTAGATAATTTACGAGATCAAAGAAATACGAAGTATTAATCTTTATCTCAACCCGTCATTCAACTGATATTGATTATATCTTGTACGACAATGCAAAAGAAATGAAATCCCCTAGCCTAGGTAAATGAAGTTTGAGTAAATTAGAGAAAATATAATGTGAAACAAAAGTATTTTCCATATCATATTTCTTACACTAAAATCTTGAAATAAGGACACAAGCAAAGAAGAAGCATCCAAGGTTTTGAAGCACTTGGTAGCACCCCTCATGGCTTTACTAGTTGCCTTATTTCCTATCTCCTACACCCCTGCCTCGCTTGCCATCGATACAGGCAGAGGGGCAGCCTTGTTTCGAAGATCCTGCATCGGGTGCCACGACGCAGGAGGGAACCTAATCCAGCCAGGAGCAACCTTGTTTTCCAAGGATCTTCAAAGAAATGGTGTTGATAGTGAGGAGGAATTGTATAGTATTACTTACAATGGGAAAGGAAGAATGCCTGGATTTGGATTAAACTGCATGCCCAGAGGACAATGCACCTTTGGGCCGCGATTACAAGACCAAGAAATAAGGCTTTTGGCCCAGTTTGTCAAGATGCAGGCTGATAAGGGCTGGCCCAATATTGATATTTATAATGAATAGTTGTTTATGTATATTTTTTTTTTTTTTAGTATAACTTAATCTTGTTCATTTGTGATACTTAACAACTTTTTAATTACGCATTGTGCTTTGAAACAAAATTTGACTTGAAAGATTTTAACATTTTAAGCACGGCATGGCCTATGGTCCTATGATCAACTTTAATTTGGTTGGTAACTTGTGATTTTCTCTAATATAATGTTTGATATGGAATGAAAAATGATCAATTTGTAACAAATTTTCAGGCATCATTGTTGGGAGAAGCTGTAACAGGAAAGGGTATTTTGGCTCAACTTAACTTAGAAACCGGAATTCCCATCTATGAAGCCGAGCCTCTTTTGCTCTTCTTCATCCTGTTTACCTTGCTTGGGGCAATCGGAGCCCTAGGAGACAGGGGACGGTTCGTGGATGACCCTCCCACCGGACTTGAGAAGGCGGTCATCCCACCTGGAAAGGGTGTTAGATCAGCTTTGGGTCTTAAGGAAGGAGGTACAATACTAGATCTATAATCTTTTACTAGTAATTCAATGTCATTGTGTGTTTGTATGTCCATGCACGAGTAAGTTTTTTACATGTTTATATAATACCTCGTATAAATAAATATATAAATTTTATTTACATTTTATTATAAAATTATTTATTAACTACTTTGTACAATCATTATAAAAATTTTCTTGCTAACAAATTAAAAAGTTTTCTCCAGCCATGAATAAATACGATTAAAGACTAGATTCATCTAAGAGAATGATTAGAGCCTTAGAGGCATGATAAGACTCGATAACCACACCAAAAAGAAAAGCACATGTTTAAGGCTCAAAATTTGCTAGTCGACCTAGTGTTTAACTGTTAAAGATGTTTATAAATTTTAAAATAAGACAAAATCTTTTACTTCGTATTACCATAGGGGCAGTAGTCGTACACAAAACTTGTTTCTCTAATAACGTGTTCCACTTATTAATTATCAACTTTGTGTTATTGAAGGTCCTCTATTTGGATTCACAAAGTCAAATGAGCTATTTGTGGGAAGATTGGCACAACTAGGATTTGCATTCTCCTTAATAGGAGAAATCATAACAGGAAAAGGAGCCCTTTCACAACTCAACATTGAGACTGGAGTTCCTATCAATGAAATCGAGCCATTGGTTTTGTTAAACGTCGTCTTCTTTTTCATCGCCGCCATTAACCCAGGAACCGGTAAATTCATCACCGATGAGGAAGAGGACTAGGCTTAGCTTAGTATATCATCTCCTCTTAGTATAATTCTTGGCGATCTAGTTCCTTTAAGTTCATGTACAAGTGCAATACTTTTTAAGTAGGAAGTATGTATGTACTCATAACCATGAAATTATGAATGGTTAATCTTGAAACAAATACTACATTGAGATGCTTTTTTTAATTTCTAGACATTGTCAAAAATTCAAACGGCAGGCTAAAATTTATGGTGGTTAATACACGTTATTAATAATGTTTAACACACTATAAGCGTTTAGATTTCACACATCAAAGACTCGACCCAATATGTTTGACTCAAATATATACTTCGAAGAATTGAAGTTTTAGTATACTTGTAAATGCATGAGCTTATTAGAATTGTCTGAAATTAAATATATATCATAATATTTCAGCGTGCAAGCATTAAATTGTTAGGGGCTAATTAAACCTAAAGTGAAGGGTCAATAATTCAACTAAGGAAATATGAGTTATGGAGTATAACGTATAATTAACCTTGTTTTCTTCATCATATTTCCACTTGTAAGAAAATTAAACTATGAGATCTCGGCCAACTAGTTAAGATTGAGGGTTTGAGTACGATAGGTCACATGTTTAAATCTCCTACCTCCATTTGTAACTAGCATTATATGCACGCGATGCTTAAAAAAAATATCTATTTTAACTATTATTTACGATTTTAATTTGTCACACATATATATGGGTAAAAAATAGTAAAGATAAAATATTATATGAAAATAAATATATTAATTCGCAGGAGTGAGGGATAGCTCAAGTGGTTAGAGACTTAGTGCTTTCTTCCTATCGACATATGAAAATTAACACAGTCAAACTTGGCACACATGCCAATGCAATAGCTGACCTTGGATATGATTAAATATTAGCAAAAAATATTTTAAAAAAACTTGATATTATGAAACTTAATATTAATGGTTATTTAATAATATATTTTATGATAAAATTTATTTTTTTATAGGTTATAAAAAAACACTATAGTCAAAGTTAATATATGAATATTGAAAAAAGTTAAACGTGTCAATTATTTATAAACAGAGTGAGTATTGATTGATTATATAAACATAAAAGAAATAATGTAATTTATTTGTTTTTGCACTGATGATTGATTAATATTTCCTTTCTTTTTGCTGATTGATTATTCTTTCTATTTTATTTGCTGATTATTTAATTTTTCCTTTTTTTTTGTAGATTGATTAATCTTTCCTTTTTATTTGCTAAATTGAATAATCTTTCCTTTCTATTTGTTGATTGATCAATCTTTCCTTTCTATATGATGATTGATTAATCTTTTTTTTTTTCTTTCCTTTAATTATATTTTCCAATTTTAAAGAAATTGAAGAGGGCTGTTGTGGTTATTTTAGGTGGACACCGCAGCCTGCCCCCTCATTTATATAATAGAGATTTGTAATGCATTGAGCAAATGACTCATTCGCAAAAAGACAAATGGCTTCATTTTGTGTTAAGCGCCTTAAAGACGTAACTTCAATCATCTAATATTATCTTCACGACTATGGTTTAATGAGAATCTTTGGTCGATGAGATGGAGGGAATAATTAATTTAAATAAGTGAAAATAACTCACCCTCCACTTTGTCACAAGTAACCAAATTGAAACAATAATTTCTAAACCCTATCTAGGTACCCATGAAAAATTGGAGTCACTTAAATGAAATGTCATTTTTGTTTCGGTACTTCGATAGTCATAGAAAATTGGTTGAAGTAGGGAAACCAACCTACTACATGCAATGGTAAAGAAATATGTGAAGATTGTGATGTTGTTAATCGAAGATAATTTTAAACATCAACTTATTTCAAAATAATCTCAACTATAAACTTATTTCTTTTCTAATTGAATAATGCTAACTGCTAAGACTACAATTGTGCCATCGAGACTATTATGTATTATTCAAAACTGTTTTCATTATTTATTAAATTAATCTAAAACAATATTCGATATTTAACAATTAACCAAATTCGAAATAATTTAAACAAAATGACCAACGTCGGAATTATTCAAGACGAGTTTGGAGTTACCCTAAAGTCTCTAATACATTAATCATAAAACCCCCCAACAATTGGATTGACAGAAATGCGTAAAAGCCGTGTATGTCCCATGATGTCACTGAAAGGAGTTTCAGTACAAGTCCAACACTCTGAGAACCAAGTCCAAAAAGTCTAAACAAACATAAACCTACTCTTGCTCATTTGAGTCATTTCTCACTAATAATTCCTTAAAGCTTCATCAATTTTCCAGTTTTTATTTCTATTTCCTTTTATATTTATTTTTGGTTAGCAACGGTCTCAACCCACGATCCCCAGAAACATCAACCACGTTCTCCAATCTCTCTCTCAATTTCCAATTTTCTGCAAAATTTTTATACTTAATTGAGAAGAAGAGAGAGAAAATTGACCAAAAAATAAATAATTTGAGATGGAAACTCCAAAAATTGAAGGCTATCTTACTGGGAGCTACAGAGAATCCTTTGCTTCTCAAAGACATGTTTCTTACAGGTTTATTTCTTTCTGTCTTTTTAATTAACCCCTTATAATGATTTGGGGTAATCTGTTTTGTTTGAATTAGTCATTTATTTGATCATATTTGAATTGGGTTTGTTGAATTTGTTCTTGTAATTCAACGGATTTGATTAATTTTGTTGGGGATTTATGTAAGTATTGGGTACTTGAAAAGATTGGATCTTTTTTATGATGTATTAGAATATAGTTTGTGCTTATTTAATGTTATTCTTGTATGATTGAATTGAGTACTCCGTCTGTTTGGAATTAATTGTGCATGTTGATAGTGTAATTTGAACTAGGAATGTAACGACTAAATCCGGAATGAGTCGGGGATTGTTTTAAAGGGCATAGAATGGAGTTTAGTTTGTCTTGATGTTTGATGAATGAAGAGGAATAGTTTGTTCCAAGTAAAACTTAGTTATTAAGATTTTACTATTTCTAGTATGTCATAGAATAAAATATACTCACCTGTTACTGAAACTTGAGCAAAACTAACCTGTTCAGTGGAATCAACCTTGTTTAGTCATACTTTATTAGAACATACACTACTCCCTTTGTCTTGATTTAATAGTCGCGTTGATAGTGTTTGAACTAGTAGGGAGACAAATGAGAATGAAATTCGGACGAAGGGAGTATACGAGTATGTCAGTTTGGTCTATTTGGTACTCGTAACATTTTGATATATTCTTCTTCTATTCTTTTTCTCGGTCTCCTTGTTTGTATGTTTAAAAAGGTGATTATTCCTTTGAAAAGAGGGGAAAGAATGAAAAAGAAGAGAAGTAAAGGAGAAGGTGGTTAGGATGTGATTGCCCAATTGGCCTCCATGTGCTTTGATAACCTAGCTGGAGAATGAGATGAGGTCAGATTCCTTCCTTTTTGAAAATAATGAGAAGTTAAAGGATTGCACAAATGGTGGGAACATATTTTGGTAGACATAATATGTAATGAGTACCTTTAGGAGTGTAATAAGAATGAGCACATATTTATGCGACTTAAACTTGCCAAAATATGGTGTCCGACATCGATACACCTAGATTTTCCTAGTTCTGTTTTACGATTTGAAGGATCGTGCCTATATCTAATTGGAGTATGATATTGATGCCAACTCTGGTACGGAGAGGTAGGTTAAGGAATAAGGATCCAAGTATGTTAATGCTGTGGTCATATGGTTTTATATTTTGATCAGTTTGGCTTTAAAAACTGTATTGATTTTCGAAGTTACCAGCCTTATTTCAAGTTCAATTAATGCTTAATGGAGGTGTTAATCTTTATTCTTTACCATCTCTTATCTCTAGTCATTGTGGTATCTGGTAGATGATGTGTTGAAAGAACTGAGGGAAGCATATGGTGGTAAGAATGGAAACAGCTACGATATTACTCTGACAAATAGTTGGTTTTGTTGTTATTGACTTACTGTTCAAAGTATACGGGATTTAGGACATCTTTGAATACCTATCCAGTAATCGAGGGAATTTGTTGAGATAAGGATTGTCATCGAGCTTAATCATTTTGATGACATAGGCAATTTGACATTCATTATCGTAAATTTCTATACCTGAAACCAAAACTACTGCTGTATGAAAGGCAAATCTGATAGTTTATGAAGGTAGCTTGAAAAATTTCCTAGAAATTGGATTGAGCAGATGATACTTGAAATGCACAGACATGTCTGATGTCTCAGTCACCGAGAGGAGTTTTGGAGACCTGAAACCTAAGTCATGCTCATGGCTATCATTGAGGAGCTGTAGAGGGGGGGGGGGTTCTCTCGGACAAAGTAGAGAATTACCTATGCAATGTTCATTGGCATATCACACAAGAAATTGTGACAAAAATGAGAGTTTTGATTTCCAGCATTGCAGTTTCTTCCATGATCTAGAAAATTCCACAGCCTGGTGATGTATTTCAACATTTAGTCTCAGCTTACCCAAATAATGTATAAAGAAAGATTATAAAAGAGTCATTGTATTGACTTTTAAAATGATATTCATACTTTAGGGAGGACAGAAGGGGGAGGGGAGGATTGTGTCAATAAATGCCTTATACTACTTACGAGTATAATTTGTTGGCAAAATTAATGGGTTTTGATTTAACCTTTTCCTTATCACTTCTCATGAGTGTTGTTATATCGTAGGACCTTGAAAGTTTTGTTTCATGATGTGTTACTAACTCAAATTGTCTTTCATTTAGTTGCGGTGCATGCGGTTATGAGCTGAATTTGAGCTCATCCAACAGGAATACTGCAACCATTGGCTCAAAATATGGAAAATCTATAAAACGAGGGATCATTTCATTTTTTCAAATTGATGAGAGCAGATTTATGAAGGTTGATGAAATCAGATGTGTACCATATTTCATATCGAAAAATTCTTGGGGTTTATTTCGTAGAAGAACCAAGCTCCTTTGTCGCAAATGTGGGAACAATGTTGGTGAAGCTTATGATGATAAAAATTCCTCCTATCCAATTGTACCTGATGGATCAAATACCAGTGAAATTGGCACTCCGAGAAAATTTGACATAAGAATCCGTGCATTACAACCTTCATCCACTGATCAAGCTGGTACTCCACTGGTTCTTTGATGTAGAGTGAGCAAGGTTCTGTTACGCACCATTTGACTGCACACTGCCAACGGTCATCAAAGGGCTTCAACGGTTCAATTGCACATAATTAAGAGCACTTCTGTATGGTGAAGTAAAACACCAGGTATTTATATTAAGAAATTATGTTCTACATTGTTAACTGTACAGTTCCTGAGTGATATAAAAGTATTTATGTTTGGAAAAGAACGATGTTTATGTTTAGAAGAGTAAAGCGATGCTCTACCATATATCATTGCCTGTCAAACAAGAAAATTGCACTTTCAAGTATTTCCTTTTCCTGTATTACATGCCCTCAAAACAGTCATCTATCTGCACACCATTACTCACTAATAGAGGGGTAGTGGGCTCTTTATGTGAGGCGACTGCCATTAAAACGACTAAGGTGAAGATCATTTATCATAATTTTTCAGTCCCCCTAATAAAGTGTAATGTATTTAGAAGCTTAATTTTGGTGTCCTTTCGTTACTCATTTTGTGCAGGATGCAAGTGTTATACAGTATTGGTAAAGCTACTTGTCGATCATAAAAATATCTGCCGTTAGTTTACATGTATATTCTACCATATATTAGAAAGGCTACTGAAAATGATGCTGATTCCAGCTTCACAGTGATTAATTTGAGTTCTTCTATAACAAAATTTTTGATTTGGACTCTGCAGTCTGGACTCTTCAATTGAATTATAAACTCAATTACAGTTTTTCAAGACCAGATCTCAATTTATCACCAAACAAGCTTAATAGTAAATTATTAACTCCTGTATAGCTTAACTTATCGGAATTTATCAAGCCAAATATAATTTTGAGTTCGTGGTAAAATAAATTATAAGTGCTTATATGAAATTAGTTCTCCACTCATTCTAGAAATAATACTCTAAAATATTCCATTTTTAAATCAACGATTGAGAATGCATAATCGAGAATAGGGGAATTTTTTTCCCCATTCCTAAGTATCATACGGAGTAATATAAATTGTACTCTGTATGAGAAAATACCATAACTCATACAAATGCGATTTTTTAATCTTATATGATGCATGAAAGGAACATTTTGAGAAATTAATCCAAATTTTAGCTCTTACTAATGAAGAAATGTCACTTTAAAAGATTATTACCAAATTTTTACAAAAATACTCTCAGAAGGATTACTACCAATTTTCAGTAAAACAATTTACTTTATTAGTTGAAGGTCATATAACATCACAATCTAGGGATGAATTCTTTCCAAAAGCTTTCTCGAATTTGGTTCAAATTATCTAACTGATGAATTTCAAAACAATTTAACCAAAGAGCAAGTAATTACATCAATCCAGGAATTATCAGCAAATTTGTTGTCGATAATAATTCACAAGCTTTATTGATACACTTTCATTGGGCCATGCCTAGAATGGGTTGGCCCAACTTAGCCCACATTACACTAGCCTGGGCCCAAAACAGTAGAAGCTGTTAAAGCATGTTGTATTGATGAAATTGCAGAATGTATACAATTTGGGAGATAGATCATTTTGGATACACAATGTAGAGTCAATTGGGTGTCTTCCATGTATCACAGTTACTGGACCAGATCATGCAGGATGCCGTGGGTTGTGCGAAACAAGCGAGCGAGGTGGCTCATGTTTTCAACCAAAGGTCGTCGAAGGAGGCTGTTAGAAAGGACCTCCCTTAGAAAGGACTCTTTTAATTTCTAGTCTCTACACCGAACCTAAGAAATATGGTACGTAGACTACGTACCGCCTATTCCTTTATGTTTTACTCCGTATCTTATATGCATTATGCTAGACTTGCATGTTTCATGGCTATAAATTAAATATCAATACTCCGTATTATGGATTTATGTCTTAAGGCCACAAATTTTTATTATTCATTATTAATGATTAAGAAATTGTTGATATGATATTTGACAAACTACGAATAGATGAAATTACATCAATCAAATTGCAAAAGTAGATGGGAAAATATTCAATTAAATGACGACAAAACCACTAATACACTCATTGTAGATCATTTGTCCACGATTCAATATATAGGCTATAAAGTGGCGGACGTTGCCATGTTGGACCAAAAAGTACAGAAAATCAAGGTTTAATTCTTTAATCTTTAGCCTATACTATTTATGTTTAGAGCAATAAATTTTACGTCTCATAAAAAAAAAAATAAAAAAAAATAAAAAAAAAATGGAGGTTGGCTTTTATGAGTTTTAATGAAATACCCCTTGTGATTATGACAATTTGAAAGTGTAAAATTAGAGGTTGAGAGCAAATTAAGAATGAAAACACAGCTAGGATCGTCATGCTTGTGTCTATGTCCCGTTTAATTTGGGCCAATTAATTTAGTTATTATGATAATACAACCTCTTGCCAGACTGAAATATTATATAAGAAAGACAAAAAATTCTCTAACAACCAATTGATATAAAATATGTAACACGAGACATTTACTTATTTTAGGCTAGAAATGAGAATAAATAAAAAGAATTTGCATGCTTATTGTTTTGATAAGTATCGCTATTTTGATAACTAACCATCCATAAAATCATAAATACGTCGCTATTTTAATGCAACTCCAATTTGCGTACAAACACTCGCAATAATGAAAATAAAGGAAATGTGATAATGAAGAAGAAATCTTGATTGTAGCACATAGAAAGGTAAGATGTGTTTCTTAAAAAGTTAGACCTTCCAACATAATTTTTCTTAATTATTTCATTTTTTTTTTTAGGGAATTAATTATTTCATATTTTGTATTTATTTAATAAGATAACATTGAAATATGCAACAAATCTTGATAATTATTTATCATTATGACAAATATTAATCAATAATTAGAAAATGAGAGTGCAATATTTGTAAGGACTCATAGGGCAGAGTCATCCTAGTGATCCTAGAAATATAGGCTAAATTAAGAAATATTCAAAGCCAAATCAAAATTATAAAGAAAGGAAACAAGAAATGACGGGCATTTACTTCCATGTCGTAAACTTGTCCTTTCCCAAATTGTAGCTGATAGATTAGGATGGCGACTTTGTTTAGTTAATGGCTAATTAATTTATCCGGAAATTCATGGTGGACTGAATCTTTTCTCTTGGCTTTATTTGTTTTAATCAATTTCATTTCCTTGACACTTTTGTGGTGAATTTTGTTAGGACCGTGACTAATTAATTGATTATGTCAATCACAAGCATCAATAATGCGGAATAAACACAAGAAACAACTCTAAAAATGACACACAAATGTAAAATCTTATAATTGAGAGATTAACCACGAAACTATATCGTGATTTTCAATAATGTGTAGATTGTGACACGGTGATGAATTACAAGGTATTCCTAAAAACTCTATTTATCCCTTAATTAAGAATTTGAAATCTAAACCTATTTTCACTCAAGGTAATCGATCAAATCGGATCTACATATTCTATGTCTCTCACTTGTTATTAGTTGTATACTTGTATGAACAAAAGGATTGTTCCATGATTGTCTCCTTTGCGGATTCCATTAGCATTCGTACTGTTCATACTAACAAAGTAATAAGAATAATATAGTATAAGGTAAGATTATTCGATTCCAATAAGTTAATAAACATACACTATATAATATTTTGACCTAGATAAATCAAAACTTGTACCTAGTATGATCGAATAATGGTAAGCATAATAAGAGTAAACTTAAAGAAAGTGTTATTATTGATGCGGATTTCATGCTGCAACGTGTTAAAATTAGTTATGCATGTAATGTACGTAATTTGTATTTAGCTATTAGTAGAAAAAAGCAAGCTAGGAGATGTATCGGTCCAATTTAGGACATGTCACAACTCACATAAATAGTAGAGTATCCTGTATATTTTTTATCAGTATGTTTTATGGCTGTATTTTATTTTTTGTGCCTGCCATGGAATATAAGATAACAACACAACGACAACATATTTGCATAAAATGCCTTTCAAGAAGGTTTAACAGTACAAGTCAATACTCTGTCATGTAGACTGATTGTAAACACTTCTCGTATATATAAAGCTTGTATGCTTGCACCCCAAAAAAAAAAAAAACTTGTATACAAATTATACAGAGTATTTGGTTTATTTGATACCGAGGACTTTATATATTCTTTGTATAGCATGATATGCAACATGCTTTTGCGTTATGCATGCACTCATGTGTTATTACACGTTTGATAAAGAAACGAAGGGAGTACATTGTATCACTAACTTTATGATTTATTACACCAAGAGTTCATGGTTGCAATACCCTTATTGATGATTTTATTTTGTTAACTAGACCTTGAAAACGCATCACCACCCTTAAGATAGTATCTCATGGGGTTAAATTAACTTTACAAAGTTAGTCTATACGATAATAGGGGTCAATATATACTCGTATTTCATTGTATTATAAAAGTAGATTTTTTTCATAAATTTTGGTGACTTGGAAAGTTGTCTTTTGGAACTAGAACAAAAAAATAATGTGACATGAGAACGTGGTTCTTAAGAGTAGTTTTGACTTGGGCTTAGTTTTAAAAGATAAGCCTCTTCTTCTTTATGATAGGAACTTTAAAGATGAAGTGTCTAATCAAAAAATACAAAAGGTATTGCCTTTATTTTCCTTGTTGTGAGCCTTATTTCTTGCTCCTTGTTTGTGGAGTCCTTTTCTTAGTTTCGTCTAGCAGCCAACCTACTTGGAACTTCCCATACTCTTCAATTCATAATTACTTCGTATAAGTGTATAATACTAGACTTTGATGTTAATCATTATCAAGTCTACATTCCGAAAGTGTGAAACTCTGTACTACATACAAGTATATTTCATAAAAATTACAACACTTTTTTTTAGAGTATTTATATACTAATCTTGACCATTTTTTCTTTACTAAAAGTAAGGTGCTAGTTGTTTGGTTGGCATAAGAAAGTGTGGGAATTGAAAATTTCTAAAAGTTGTAATTAGGGAGAGTTGTTTGGTTGACCAAAAAAGGATAAAATGAGAGAAGTAGAAAATCCTAGGAATTTCAACTTCCCACAAAATGTCGGAATTTAATTACCTAACCCCCCTAGGTAAATAGAAATTCCTATGGGAAGTTATTTCCCACATTGCAAACCAAACAACTTTAGAAAAATTCCATGAATTTAAAGTAAGCAATTTAATTCCCACAAATTTCAAACTCATGTGAATTCTACTTCCTTTGTTAACCTAACATTATCTATTTATCTAAATATTACAGTATCATGTACAGAGTAAAATGTTGTAATAAAAGTTTCTGGTGACCAAAGTTGTAAATTTACAAATTTAAAAGTCAAACAGTTGTAAATTTTATGACTAGTAAAAGTTTTTGCAATACTTATGAAACAGATTACGTGTTATAATAATATGAAAGTTTTACGATGGTACTCCATATATTAGAACAACTAACTTACAGAGTTGAGAACCGGATAGTTCTATTATTAGGAACTCGATCGAAACTAAG